GTCAATAGATCAGAGCCTCTTGTATCACTTCTAAACAAAAAAATTATCTAAATAAACATAAAATCCAAAGTTAAAACCTTCAAAAATCTAAGCTTTATCATGCTGTAAATACCTGTCCTTATGTGATGCTTCTGCTTGGTAAGCCAGAGTCCAAAGTGGTATCTCCCACACCCCAGCACAATCATTTGATTAACATATGCAATTAACATCAACAGTCAAGCTTAAACTATCTCTGTTTCTCCAGAAGCTATTTGAATGATTGCAAATGAAGGTAAGATTTACCTACCAGATGGCAAACCAAGGAAACCACTATGGTCTACATTTTTGAAGCCAAGAAGGAGGAGGAGTGGCTAAAACTGCAGTTCCATTCTCATCCACTAGGGGTGGTATCAGAAGTGAGCAAATCCTCATTGACTCATGTTAAAAATGCCCATTTCACAGCAGAAATAAACATGTTTACAGTCTGGTTCAAAAATCCCTTTTAGGTTTATTAGATCTAATTTACATTCATGACGACTCTGGGGGGGGGGGGGGGGGGTATTTTGTAACTCTTCTGTTTAGGTGGAATGAAATGCTTAAATTTCTGAATAATTAATGAGCATCAGAGCCACGTGACTTCAGAACTAGCTCCGGGAAAGGCCTCAGCCTCACGTTAATAGATGTTCAGCCATTTGGACTCTCTCAACTTTAGTTTTGTCTGTGTGTTTGGATGTTAATCATGGAATTAGTTGGGCAAAAGGGCAAGCTGTGGTTAGTAACAGACCATCCAAGCTGCTTGGACCAAGCGGTTTCTGCTTCTTTTTTATCAGTCAGTAAAATTATATTTATTTCGCTGGTTGAATGAGGGGAAATGCTGTCATGCCAAGACCCACAATGTGGCTCAAAAATTGAGCCAAACTCGGAAGTACCAAAAATTGCAGTTCCACCCTCATCCACTGGGGGCCGGTGTCAGAAGTGAGCAAATCCTCATTGACTCCCATGTTAAAAATACCGATTTCACAGCAGAAATAAACATGTTTACAGCCTGGTACCAGAACATGTTTTTTGTTATTATCTATCTAAATTATCTAGTTTACACTCATGACAACTCTGAAGGGGGTGAATTTTTTTCTCACTCTTCTTTTTAAGTGTATTAAAAGCCTAAAATTCTGTATAATTAATGAGCATCCGACCCACGTGACTACCGCCTCAGACCCACGTGACCACAGAGCTAGCTCCGTGGAAAGGTCTCAGTAGAGCCTCAGTCTGGCTTGGAAACTGCTCCGGCATTTTGAGTCTCTGTGTTTGTGTATTGTTTTTTGGATATTATTTGTGCAATTGTTGGACAAAATGACTTGCTGTGGTATCAATTGCACTAATAGAGCATCCAAGGAGTCTCCACTTCATTTTTTTCAGTAAGTAAAATTATATTTATGTATTTTAGGTCACTGCTGAGCTGAGCTTAGATTTTAACATGTACTGTTTAACCATGAAATTTAAATGTAATAGGGTAAAACCCAGTGCATTTAACATAATGCTGCACTTTAGAAAATGGGCTGAAATATAACATGTTGGTGGAGCTGGGTTCCGACTATTGGCTTGTGGAGCTCTCGGGAGACCGATGTTTTCCACCCGGTTCTCCCCTCCCTGCATCTCTGTCTGATCGCGGCTTCTATCTGCTGCGCGGGCTGCCGGCTTGTGGAGCTCTGGATGGATCCCGATGTTTTCCACCCGGTTCTCCCCTCCCCGCAGCTTGGCGCATCTCTGTCTGATTGCGGCTCCTGTCTGCTGCGCGGGCTGCCGGCTTGTGGAGCTCTGGGATGGAAACCTTTCCACTTGGTTCTCCCCAGCGGCAGCTTTGCGCATCTCAGATCGCAGCAGCGCTTGTCTGCTGTGCGGCTGCCGGCTGGTGGAGCTCTCAGAGACCTCTGTGTTCCACCCGGTTTTACCTAGCGGTCAGCCCGGCGTATCTCTGACTCAAGAAGCTCTGGGGTTGTGCACAGTTAACTCCGGTTGTAGCTAGGTTGCTACCTCCGTTAGCTTAGCTCCCACCGTTAGCTTTGGGTTAGCTTCAGGTTAGCTTGTAGCTAGTTCGACTGGGTGTCGTCAGTTGATCCCAGCCTTACAGCCCCACCCTCAGCTCCACCTCTCTTACCTTTTGTGGAATTGTCTGGGCTTGACGGAACCTGTGACACGGTCAAAATGGCGGTGGTGTCCACCTCCCATTTGGCCTCAAAAACGTGTTATTGGAGGCTATGGAAACCCATTGTCCAATATTTATATGTCGATGTGTCAAACACGTTAGCGGGGCTGCTCGCTGGATAAGAAACTTGAGCGGATGCCTGTCTTCACGTTGGAGTCGATCTACCACGTTTTTCTTGCTAAAAATGCCCGAAAAACTCTGTTAGCTTCGGTTTAGCATGTAGCTAATATCCCACTGATCTCTGACCTTGGAGAATGAGCTGATTTGTGGGGCCAGGGCTCCCGGTCACAGTGGTCTGGCTCTGCTTGTAATTTAATCTAAATCTACTGAGGTACCTGTCTACTTGACAGCTTTTATCACTCATAATGGACACACACACACGCACGCACGCACGCACGCACACACACACACACACACACACACACACACACACACACACACTTATTTATTACCCTCTATGGAATGTATCACTTTATTAATTGTATACAACAAAAATAATAGCAGATAATGTATTTGATACCAATAACAGAAATAATATTGGTAGTACAGCAATAAAAATAAGTATTAAACAGTGACAGAATGAACAAATGAATAAAAAAGAAAACCCTGGGTTAATCTAAAATGAAAGAGGTGAGATTGACATATTTTTGAAATTGGTGTCAAAGTTTTACCATCTGATTTGGACCCTGGTTTTAGATCTGTTTAGTTTATGTGCTTTCTAGTTTGATTGGGTTAGGCAACAAAACACACTCAACTGCTGTCAAGTTATGTCATCAAACCACCTTAGCAGGGTAAGATGTATTTTATTGGTACAGTAGGTCAGCAGCTAATTGAATCTAACTCATCAGATGTTCTATTTACAGACTTTTTGACTTGGAGAAGTCAGGCATGGTTTACTAATGAGGGATGCGTTTCCCTTAGCTTAGAGGAAGTTTTCGTTTTGCATTTTCATGCTGAAAACAAAAAGGTGGGACACAGCCTCTGTTAACACTTTCTTACTCGTTCAGGTCAGCATGTCCATTGTGGAAATAAGACTGGAAGTGGGTCAAATGAAGGTAGATAAATGGAATTCATGCATAATTCAGCTGTGGGCTGAACAAGTTGGATATTTGAAACAAATGTGGTCTGAAAATTAAAACGTCCCACATACTAAACTATACAAACATATAATTTGCGCAAACTGGAGGTTTAACGTGTGTGTGTCTGCTCTGTCTTCTCGATCCCCAGTGAGTCGTGGTGGATGGCTGCTTACACTGAGGCAGGATCCTCTGGAGGTTTCTTCCTGCTAAAAGGGAGTTTTCCTCTCCACTGTCGCTACATGCTTGCTAGTATGAGGATTGCTGTAAAGACTCTGACACTAGTCAGTGACTCGGTACAATCTGCTGGGTTCCTTATATAGGAAACTTTTTACTGACTGGCTTAATGAACTGACCTGTATTGGAATGTTTATTATGTGAAGTACCTTGAGACGACTCTTGTCGTGATTTGGCGCTATATAAATAAACTGAACTGAATTGAATTAAAGTTCCTCTTTTGGATTTAACCATTTGTCATTTCAAATAGAATTAAAAAGTAGCAAAAATAGTTTACATCACTTTTTTCCAGATGTGTTGATTAAGATTTATCCTGAGTAGATGTGCAGATTGTTGTTGATTTAAACAAGCAGGAGACAGCAGTAGCTCAGGAGGTAGAGAGGGTTGTCCAGTAATCAGGAGGTTTGATTCTGGCTCCCACCAGAGAATGCTGCTGTTGTGTCCGTGGGCAAGATGCTTAACCCCCTTGCCTGCTGGTGGAGGTTGGAGGGACCGGTGGTGCCAGTGTTTTGCAGTCCACCAGCGTGCCCCAGGACAGCTGTGGCTACACTGTAGCTCATCATCACTAATGTGTGTGAATGGGTGGATGACTGATTGTGTTGCGAAGCCTTGGGGGTTGTATAAACTTAAGAAGGCACTCCACAAATACAGACCATTTACCATTAAACACCCCAGATGTGTGTTATTGATTTGTTTTTCTCAGTTAACGGACAGGTGCTATTTTAGAATTTGATGCAGCTCAGCAGGCTTCCAGCATTCACACGTGACGACAGCATTTTCCTTAACTGAGCTCTCATTACTCATCACTTCCAACAAACCGGCACAATTTATGTTCCAGTAACTTAATCTTTATGGTTATTCCCAAAGCTTGCACCTCTTTCCAGTTTGCGGCTTCCAACAACTAAAATGAGTTGCAAAAATCTCTGGAGGTAGATTCCATTATCTACCTTCAATAATTCACTGCAATCGATATTTTCTGATCAATGTGCCTGCTTCGGAGTACTCATGCGTCTGTTGCTGCTGCCTCTTGGCCAGATCATTGTAAATGAGAATGAGTTCTCAATCGGCCCATCTGGTTAAAAAAAATAAGCGTTTTCCCTCTGAACCTCCTACACCGCACCAAATAATGAATATGGTGAATTTAAAGCACGATGGCTGACATCGAGAGGAGCCAGTAGAGGTGGCTCGGGCATCTGGTCAGGATACTTCCTGGACGCCTCCCTGGTGGTTTTCCAGGCACGTCCAACCGGGAGGAGACCTAAAGGTAGACCCAGGACACGGTGGAGGGACTATGCCTCTCACCTGGCCAGGGAACACCTTGGGATTCCCCCAGAGGAGCTGGCCCAAGTGGCTGGGGAGAGGGAAGTCTGGGCCTCTCGACTTAGGCTGCTTCACCCGCGACCCGACTCCGGATAAGATGACGAAAATGGATGGATCGTTGACCTAAATTCTAATTTAAAAGCCAACCAAATAAAACTGAAGAGTAATTAATAAATCAGTCATAGTTACTTTTTCATAACTGCATCAGAGCAGTTTATTCTGTTACATTTACAACACGTCACAACAGAGCAAAACAGTAATAAATCAAGTTTTTACAGCATGAAAACACATAAATCATACGGTCATCTTAAACATCTATATAGCTTTGTTTATTTTTATTTACTTTACTCATGTAGAACGTGACACGGGAGGAAGATCCTGCTCTGCGGTTTCATTTATAACATTTAACAATAATCTATTCAAACAACAAATCAGAATCACTTCACTTGTTAGTCTTATATAATTTAGACATACAGACAAAACCTCGCACTGGAGCAGAAATAAATAAAGAGCCAGACAGGAGCAGAAGAACGTTCATGTACACTGAGCTGGACAGAAGGGACATTCAGAGTAAAGTTACCCTTATGACAGATCTCAAACTCTGATAAACTGCAACGTCAGTAAGCTCATAAAATGCAGTTGCTGACTGGTGTAGCTGAAGAAAAACAAATCAACTTCGTTGCTTGGTGCCTTTCAAGTCGTTTCCTCCCTCTGATGAATTGCAAATACACAGATTTGTTTATCTGCCTGAAGTGTCAGCTGGACATTGTGTGTCGTGTGAAACACACTGAGCTTTGGAAAGTTTATGAAGATGTGTTTGAAAGTCAAATTGGTGAACGAGGTACACCTGGTGACTCAGGATCATGTTGTTTTATTCCCATTTAAAACGGAGTTATTCGTAGAACTCTCTTTTACTTTGTAGATAAGTTAGAAAAAAAAGTCATGAAATATTGTCATTTAGAACCAATTTGCATACAAAGGTGAATAATGGAGAACTTTTTGCATCCTTCCATCACACTGAGACTAGAGACAAAGGACTGAATGAAATTATGATGGAGAGAAGGAGCATGGAAGCCTGAGAGGAAAGGGAAGACTAAAAGATCGGAATGTAGTTATCGATTTTGGCACGGTGTCGCTGAGCGATGCACTCAGCGATCCAGACGATGTTCCTGCACTCCTGCTCCTTCAGCTTGACGTACGCGTAGAACACGCTGAAGTGGAACTGATTAAGAAACGCCAACTTGTTCAGCTTCACCTGCAAGCATAGAGGACAGCAGACAATCAGCAGAACTGTTTGTGGCTCATGAAGTTCTGCCAGAATAGGACTATTATTTATAGTAACAATCAGACGCCTCATCGTGTTAATTAGGAAAAGTTCACGTTAAAGAGCAAGTCACCCCCACATCAACTTTTTTTCTTCTGATACACTATATAAATCGTGCTGCAGACACATGTAGTCAAAAGTTTTGCACTTTAGTGCATTTTAGTTAAAATTTTAATTTTCTGCCTAAAACTGTCAAAACTCTGCACTGCATTTGAATTTAAATCTGCCATCGCTATTGGCTAAGAGGTACCCTAGAACATTAGCTGGTACCATATGATGTCACAATGTCGTTGTGAGCTTGTATGCGTGTGTATGTATGTCATTAAATGTAAATGACAACCGGTTACTCCACGATTTATCACATTAAAGTTTTTATTTATTCCTGTCGGGAACCTCTTCTCGGTCCTAACCGCATTTACAACCTTTGCAACTTGTTTAATTCTTTTGCACTTCAGCAGCCAGTCTCTTGATCTCGCAACAAAGTTTTCATTCTTTTTTCCGGGTAGAAAGCAGGGAATCCCCTCACAAGCGGAGGACGTAGCGTGACCAAATACGGTTAATTGAGGGCATTCCTGTATGTAAATGACTGGGAACAGACAAGAGCACCTGGGTATGCACAGGTGGGATTTATCGTCAGACGAGTGCGGAGAAACGTGCGTACGAGAGACCACCGCATGTTTCATAAATCAGAATTTTGACCGTTCATATGAACATTCTAAATTTTGTTCATAGGAAGGGATTTAGGAATATTTCTACGAACGTGTGATGAATGAGGCCCCTGGAGCTGATAAAAGCATGCATGGCCTTCTCAAGGTCAGTTTGGCATAAAAAGGCATAAAAACCTTAGTTGAAAGACGAAGGTGATAGAAGCTTGATTGACTACTGAATCAACTTGTTTGGAAATAGAGAAATTCTAATCTAAAATCACACCTAGAGTTTTACAGTAATGCCAAAGTCAAAGTTCAGAGTAGCGGTACCAACAGAGGCGCTCTCACAGAACAAAATGAACTCAGTCTTTTCATTCAGAAACAAAAACTTCTGATTTAACCGCTGCTTCACTGCAGAAAGGCCGTCAGTGAGCAGGTGTTGAGCGTCGCTGTTGCCAGGTTTTAGCAGTACGCTGCTATGTGTGTCATTCTTCAGCATGAAAAACCGATTTGGCAAAATCAGGCCTAAAACATTCAGACTGTAAGTCCTTTAGAGTGAAATCTCTTTAAACATCCATACACATCAGTAACCCATCCTGCAGATCAGAGTGTTTTAATGCAGCCCAGGAGAAAAACAGCTGTGGGCTATGCGTGGGCTTACAATAACTCTTGTGTTAATAAAGTAAGTGGACCTTCTGTGTGTGGTATAAAATACATCAGTCACCTCGTGCTCAAAGAAACGGTCCTCTAGAGTTTTATCTCCTGGGTTGCTGCCAGCGCCCTCAAACAGCAGCTTGTATTCCTGAGAAGAGAAAAGCAAATTCAATGGCAGAATTAACTCCTCACTAATGAGAGAAAACTACAAAAAATAAATAAATAAACACGTTGTTCCGTCTGTCCTAAATGTACAAAATAAGACACAAGCATGATAATAGTTGGCTTGATACAGGGTGCTGCACCACCCTCTAGTGGATGGTAGAGGACATGCATGTACAGAAAATACAAACATGGATGAGCAACACTTTGCCTCCAAACGACGATGCCAAATGTTGCTGTTCAGTTACAAACCCAAAATAAAAGACGGTTCAACCCACCAGGCAAACCCAGATTCTTAGACTTACGGGATAATAATCAGCGACAGACTTGACCTGCTCGTAGTCATCTGCCCGAGCCAGCTGTGCAAGGCCTTCTGGGTAGAGCTTGCCACAGTGGGGGAAGAGCTTAGCACGGTCCTCTTTGGACAGCTCAGTACCAAAGGAGTTGATGGTGATGATGAAGGCTCTTCTGTCGGCCTCGAACTGACACACAGACAGAATAAAGTTAATGAAACTATAACCCAGAGAACAACTAACGCCTTAAACAACCCACCTCCAAGATAGGACACATGGTGTCAGCAGTGGTTCCTCCCAGGTTGGAGCAGAACTTATAGAAAGCCTCCAGATAAGCCTGAGAGGATGCAACAAAAACACACATTTAGGTACTTTTTAATAACAGCTTTGATTACTAGAACCTGTATTTAATGTCTTATAAACACATACTGGAAGTTTTTTTTATTGTTTTACCGTAAATCCTCTAATGCAGGCCCGAGCCTGTATTTGACTCAAGCTCACCAAGCTCCAGGCCTTTATTGGAAGGAGGGCCAGAATTAGTGGCAGGCCTCAATTTCTATTTGAGCAAAATGAACTAATGGTTCGCTGGAGTTTTTGACAATTAAAATTGTGCCCACATTTTCAAAGTTAAACACATTTCTTTTAACAACGGTAGTTTCTGCTTCAGCCCTCTCCTCCCTCCCCCTGCACAGTGGCCGCAAGCTCACTGATACACCTGCAGCCTCTCAGAGTTCCTGCTGCTCTAAACATTAAAATAATTATTTCATTTTCTGCTCCTCACTTCTGATTACCTTCAATGGTGTCTGTTTGTTGCAACCACCAGGTACAAAAACTAACTTGTTTTTATTTGACTATTTTTCTGTCCTGTCTGTTTATTATCTTCCTGCATCTCCTCTCAATCCTAAAGAAAAACTGCTACCTGGGTTCATATATATTCACCTTATGAGTTACCTTTGAACTGCAGTTCTAAAAGATCTACCGACCGCAAAAACAGCGGAGTGCTTGCCAGCCGCATCAGTGATCGGTGCGTCGGAGGACAAGGTGAAGCGCCCCGCTCCACAGCAGCGAAACACATTAGGCGCAAATAAAAGACAGAAAACATTAAAGGAAATGAACAGACATGAACGATCGTGTGTCAGTACCGACGCTCTGGCACAGCGCGTTGCCCCCCCCCCCCCCCCGAGCGCAGGAGCTTGTCACCTGCTGACAGCAGGCTGCTGTCTTTTCCGTGGACTGCATCTTGCCGGTCATTATCAAGTGACAGTGACTAGTCGATGACAGGCATAAAAAGTCACTATAGTGAAGTCGACTAGTTCATACAACCCCTGCTACTGCTCCCCAGAGTGTTCTGCAGCATAATCAGCACATTCTCTTTGAACTTGATATCAAATTTTCGCCTCCTCGTCGTCTCCGCACGGTTAAAGTTACCCTCGCGGTCTATCACTGGCAAATCAAAAGTGAGACGGATGACACAACCGCCCCCGTACTTGCTTGTTACCACATTCCACCCTGCCACAATAAAATACCGGCCATTATTCACCTCCGCCGACTCCGACACCGGCCAAAATATGATACCCGGCCGTTAATTGAACACAGGCTAATATTAGAGGATTTACGGTATATTAATTCATCATGTGTCGTGTTCCCCTGAACCACAGATATAATCTTTTAGTTCATCACACGCTATAAAAAGTTCACACTTATGAAAGCTGCTCCTCTGTTTTACCTTGTAAAGGGTGTTACGAATGATTTCAATGTTCATCTCATCCAAGTCCTGCTCTGATATACAATCCTGAAAGAATGCAGCTGGAAGAACAAGGACCAGAGTTAGTGATGGCTTTGTCTCCCCCTGCTGTTCAGCATGAGACATTAAAGGACAGGACAGGTTAGTGCGAACCCAGAGGCGTGTCCACCAGGATGGCGTTGTAGAGCTCAGCGGGGGTCTGGGCGATGTTGACGGCCTCCATCTGCTCAAAGCTGCCCAGAGGGTGACACTTAGGGACGAGCTCGGAGATGGCCCTCTGGTGCAGCGTGCCGGTGATCAGCAGGATGACGTTATCGATCATGTAGCTGTACCTGAGGAGAGCAGTGGGGCAGAAGTGATGAGAATACAGAACCATCATGTGATGCTGTGTTGTTTATTTGTACAGTGCTCTGATCAAAACACAATCTCCATCCAGCCTCTGCTTATCCGGGCCGGGTCGCGGGGGAAGCAGCCTACGTAGAGAGGCCCAGACACAAAAACACAATCCAACTAAAGACTCCACCAATCCTGTTTTCTCATTAATGAGAAAAACTCCAAACGTGAATCCATGAGCAGCATTTTAACTAACTAATTTTAGTACACAAATCTATAGCTATTAGTATTTTATTAAGACTTGCATATAAATTACAAACAGCATCCCTGGTTCTGCCTAGGAGATGTTAAGGAGCTACTGAGACGTGTTACTCCAGTGTTGAAGTTGGGGCAAACAAAGCAGAGCAGTCACTTCATTTGAATGTTTATTATTTATGACGAGAAGAGCGTCCACCAGGAGAACCCCGTCCATCATGAGATGATGACCTTTTGCCTTGTAAGATGATTTGAGCTTATTTGAGTCAGACAGGTTTTACTGAGGTGAGTAAGTCTGAGCAGTGTGACGAATTTAACAAAACTCAGCTTTTGAAAATATTAGGTTATAGATGTTCTCTTTAACAGAGGCTGTACCTGTAACAGGGCCAGGCTGCATTAGATTGAAATCTCTTCTTAAAGAGCAAGTCACCCCCTACCAGAGTATAACTCCACTCCCACTTCCTGTTTGAAAAATACAACAAATGCTATTGTCTAGCAGACCGAGAGGGCGGGGCCGCTAACAAATACACACACAGGCTCACAACGTCACTGTGACATCATATGGTACCAGCTAACGTTCTAGGGTACCTCTTAGACAATAATGATGGCAGATTTAAATTCAACTCCAGTGCAGAGTTTTTACCTGACAACGGGACAACACTGGCAGTTTTGGGCAGAAAATTTAAATTTTAACTAAAATGCACTGAAGTGCTAAACTATTGACTCCACGTGTCTGCAGCACAATTAGACACACATTTATATAGTTTATCAGAAAAAAAAAGATTTGGGGGTGACTTGCTCTTTAATGAATAAAAAACAGTGTTTTATATTTACTCAGGTTATCTTTGACAGTGACGCTCCTTTGTTGATCTGAAGCATTCAAATGCCACCCCCCCCCCCCCCCCCCCAATTAAATAAAAAATTAAACAGTCTGAGGCTAGTAGGTTCGGTTATAGAACAGAACACAGCAAAAATTAGCTACAAAATGGTAAAATTTTCAAAATAAAAGAATAAAAATACCCTACTGTCATGGACAGCATATTAATGAGCCTTTAATTAGGATTAACAGGAACAAATGAATGTTTTACTCTGTTTATTCTGCAGACAGGTGGTCTAGGAACCATTTAAACTCTTTTTACCAGGAGACGGATGGAAACCCTAAAACCTGACTGGGCCTTGTATGAAACCCTAACCTCACCAGGCTGAAGCAGGTCTTTAATGAGCCGTTTTTAGAGCCGCTCATGAAAGCGTCGGTCAGGACTGATAAAACAAGAATAAAAACAGCATCATGAGGGTTTCTTCAGCCTTCAATTAGCAACTCTAGGGATAAAAATACACACATGGCTGGGCCTTCTTGTACGTTACATCAACACAACATTTAAAGGTCAATTCATCATCTATCATAATGACCAACTATCAGGGTTACATGCTCTACCACCAGACCATCCATCACCACTGGAGGAAACACAGCTGAGGTTTCCACAATCCTAAATCACGTCTTCAGTCTTTTCGCACATTTTAGTCAGAGAAGGAGCCTTTAAACCAGAACGTGAGCTTATTAAGAGCAGAGTTTAAGACTGTCGTTGTGATGACCTGGGGTGTGGCTTGGACATGTTTGTGTAGAGAGTAAACAGGTGAGCCAGTGGAGGATAAAATTATCTGAGAGAAAACACCTTACAACCACCTGTGTTTGGGCACTTTGCTTTTATCCATCAGCCACAGATGTAATATGTGTCACATCAGAGAGAAAAAACGTTCCAAAACACTGTAGGAAAACCAGCTCATTGCACCTGTACACCTTCATCCAGGAAAGCATGTAGGTGAAATTTAAAGAGCGAGTAACACCTAAATAAGACTTTTTTTGCTGATAAACTGTATAGATGAGTGTCTAACAGTGCTGCAGACACGCATAGTCATTATTTTTGACATTTTAGTTCATGTTGCTTAAAATTTAAACGTTCAGCCTAAAACTGTAATTATATCTCCCTCTTCAGGTTAAAAATCAGCTCTACATTGATTAGGAATCAGCCGCAGCTGATGGCCAAGAGGTCCCAGGTGGCACTGTCTGTCCTTCTGTCAGACGAGGGGAAGTGAAAAACCTCCAGCCTGCTGATGTTTCTCTGGTCGCTTGTGCGGGGAGTCTGCTGTGTGTGTTTGTGTGCATGCTGCCCTTCAACAAGAAGCGTGAGTGAAGTAAGACTCCACCCAGCGGCTGACCGGCCCTTTAGCGTTTAGGAGGTAAGAATCGGTTTGATCGGTTTCACAAATTCTGACTTACGTGATGAAGTCCATGAAGCTGGCCAGGGGTTCGTAAGACTGGTTTCTCATGTGGCGAAACTCCACCACCATCTTCTCCTTCAGCTTGTCATCGATGACCGACACCGTGAGCGGAGACGCCTCGTTAGCCAGGAAGCTGCCATAGTCGGTGCTCTGCAAGTGGAGCTTCAGATCTGCACGGGAAACAGATGGAGGGGAAAAAATGCTAATTTGTAACACTCTGGTTATTATGTGGGTATGCTTAAAAAAACGTGTTTCTATTTTTAAACCTATGATGCATGAAACTGGAAAGGGTCCGGTCCTAAAGCAAGGTTAGGTAGATGAGTTAAGTTGAAGCTCGTAGGAAAACAAAATTGCTCAGCATGACAATGATCCAAAATACACCGTCGTCGATGCAGAACCGAAGTGGAATGCTGTGTTTTCACAACAGGAAATGGAACATTTTATTTTTAGTCGTGAATCAGCCACTACAAAGCCCAGGCCTGAAGAGAATAGAGGCAATAAAAACAAATGCTCCTGTTTGCACTATTAACGATATTTCACATATTTCACTGGGTTGCTGCATCCAATTTTCCTCATAAAATGTGTAAAAACACAGTTGAAAATAAACGTAACCATGAAACAAGCAGCAGTTCACCTGAACACTGATTAAAAAATAAATGGAAACATAGTATTTTACACACTTCTTGTTGATCTTAGATCTAGACGCGTGAATAATACAAACAGTCGCCTAAGACACGTCATAAATAAACGAGCTCTAGTAGAATTCCTATAGGTTACTTTGAACCAGGCTTTGCTGTTTGGCCAGCTGTTCCACTTCCTCTAAGAAGTCCAACGTTGACAAAGAAACGCTGAGAATATTCATTATGCTAAAATACCAGTATGGCAAGCATATATGAATGGTAGCAGCCATTAATATACAATTCTTAGACACATTTCCACAATACTCGGTGGCAAATGTCAAGGTAAAGGTTATTCAGTAAGAACCCACAAAAAACGGCTACGAGTCAATGTGGCCCATTAAGATCCAGTATCCTTCACGTAACCCGAGCTAAGCTATTGAGCTGCGCTAGTTAGCATTAGCTTCTTTAAAACTTACCTTCCAGAGTCTCACACTGCACCAGGTTTAAATAATCCCCCTGAGACAATATACCAGCTTTAAACCCCCTAACCAGCCCCTCCAGGTAGCCATTATCCACGTTAAAATACAACTCAGAGAAAGGCATCCTGGCCGATCGAGTCAAACCGCTTGCTGTCCGGTTAGCGTCAGCTGACTGAACCACGTGACCGTCATCTGATCGGTCACCTGAGTGTGCATCACAGACGTCTGTCGCGGTGGAGCATCCGGTCACAAGACCAGCCCGTTTCCGGTGTGTGCCATAAATCGACTCGCTGCCAAAAAATGATCGGCCACCGCGGGATCGCGCACGGTTAGGTAATTGCATTTCTAGACGAAATTCCCCAGGATTTCGCCCTAAAACTCAGCATATCTAGCAATATGGACATTCAGAAAGCAGAGATAACCTCTTCCGGTACTTAGACAGATGTTTTCTCGCGGATATTAGTTTTTCCAGTTCGGAAGTTGTTTTAAGTGTTTCTATTTGTCTTCAGCGTTCACAATGAGGATATATTAATCCTTTTTGCAATATTAGCGATTGAAAGATGGTTTGTGGTAAGAACTGGCTTTCTTAATGTTACAGCCTTGATACTAAAAAATAAATAAACAATGTAAAATCGCACCCTGTATTGAATGTATACGCTGTATAAATGTAAATAAACAATTCTCCAGCGATTTGATTTTTCCCCCTTCCTTTCTTTAGTCCACTTGACATGGAGCCACAGTTAACTAGTTTGGGGCACATTTGTACTTGAAAAATAGTATTTAAACTAATCAAGCTTTGGCTTTAATGACACTGTGTAGGTTACTATCTATACATTACTTTGCTCTATTTAAAAGTAACAAGATAAAAGCACTTCAGCACAGAAAAATAAGGTTGTCACTTGCCAAATAGTGACTACACCCTCCTGTTTACCTATAAGAAACGCCTCAAAATATCTTTAAATTCTTTATTGATGATTTAATTGTAGACAAATAAAATGGCATTTTACTTGCCAAAAAGTGATTGAATCGCTCAGATTTTCATGGAGGCTAAAAGTGACCAAATAAGGGTTTTATGTATTATCTGTTGATGTTACTGTACTCATACTGTCTACTGTATCATCAAAAACACCCCAAAAATGGCACACACAAAAAAGGATAATTTCCCTTGCCAAAAATTGATCACAGTGTCCTGGTCACCTGTAAAGGGTTAAATTGACCTGAATATAATATAATATAATATTTAGGTAAATTTAACCCTTTACAGGTGACCAGGACACTGAAGTTTTTGGCAAGGGAAAATATCATTTTTGCCATTTTTGAGGTGTTTGTGAATGTGGAAGAGATCCATCATCCTGTGATGGCACTAATAACATCAAGAGGTAATAAATAAGGTAATATTTATCTCAATTTAACCCTTTACACGTGACCAGGACACTGCGATCATTTTTTGGCAAGGGAAATGATCATTTGTTGTCATTTTTGAGGTGTTTGTGAATGTGGAAGACACCCAGCATCCTGTGATGGTACTAATAACATCAAGAGATAATAAATAAAGTAATATTTAGGTAAATTTAACTCTTTACAGGTGACCAGGACACTGTAATCAATTTTAGGCAAGGGAAATAATCTAATTTTTTTTTGCCATTTTTGGGGTGTTTTTGATGACACAGTAGGCAGTATGAGTACAGTAACATCAACAGATAATACATAAAACCCTTATTTGGTCAATTTTAGCCTCCATGAAAATCTGAGCGATTCAATCACTTTTTGGCAAGTAAAATGCCATTTTAGTTGTCTACAATTAAATCATCAATAAAGAATTTAAAGATATTTTGAGGCGTTTCTTATAGGTAAACAGGAGGGTGTAGTCTCTGTTTGGCAAGTGACAATCTTAATTTTATGTGCTGAAGTGCTTTTATCTTGTTACTTTTAAATAGAGCAAAGTAATGTATAGATAGTAACCTACACAGTGTCATTAAAGCCAAAGCTTGATCAGTTTAAATACTATTTTTCAAGTAAAAATGTGCCCCAAACTAGTTAACTGTGGCTCCATGTCAAGTGGACTAAAGAAAGGAAGGGGAAAAAAATCAAATCGCTGGAGAATTGTTTATTTCCATTTATACAACGTTTACATTCAATACAGGGCGCCATTTTACATTGTTTATTTTTTAGTATCAAGGCTGTAACATAAAGAAAGCCAGTTCTTACCACAAACCATCTTTCAATCACAAATATTGCAAAAATGATTAATATATCCTCATTGTGAACGTTTAGGACAAATAGCAACACTTAAAACAACTTCGGAACTGGAAAAACTAATATCTGCGATAAACATCTGTTTAAGTACCGGAAGAGGTTATCTCTGCTTTCTGAATGTCCATATTGCTAGATATGCTGAGTTTTAGGGTGAAATCCTGGGGAATTTTGTCTAGAAATGCAATTACCTAACCGTGCGCGATCCCGCGGTGGCCGATCATTTTTTGGCAGCGAGTCGATTTATGGCACAACACCGGTTCTTGAAGCAGACATTTCCCGTATAAAATCCTCCAATACAATAAAAGAAACTTAAAAATACAATTATTTTGAATAGAAGGTGTTGAAGAAGACTTTTGAAAACATCCAACTGAAGTGATTTTTTAAACACAAATTTACAAGGCAAGGATCTATCTTGTTAACTTTTCATCTTTGGCTTCTGTTACTAACGCTGTCGCCCTCTGGTGGCGTAGTTGTGACCCTACAAAAAACATGTTTTTTAATTTACACACACACACACACACACACACACACACACACACACACACACACACACACACACACACACACACACACACACACACACACACACACACACTAGTCTGATGAAAAGAAGCAGGATAAGTTATTTACTATATGAAGCTGTAATGAATTAGATATACATTTAATTAAGGACCATAAGACATTAAAAATTCATATCTAGTATGAATCCCGTCTTACGGACACTGGGTTATTTAAATCAGAAGATTGGATGTTTTTATTACAGGGACCTTCTAATAACACTTTGCATTAACTGAGAGACAAGAGAAGAAAGAGAGACTTTCACACATTTAAGGAAATTTATTAATAAATAATTTTAAACAATTTAACAAGACTAACTCTCTAATGATGGATGTTTTGTTGGAATGAAGTGTGAGGTGAATGGTGTGTGTGAATGGTGTCAAATTCAGAACCTTCGCATCCGGAGAAGCAAAGTTTGAGACCCGTGGTCATAAACACATGAGACGCCATTCTGTCGCATCCACATACCCTCAGTGAGACCTCCGTACAGATCCGGATGCCAGGTCCACGGATCCTCCTTTTGGTACTGGAGCCAATGGTACAGCGTCACAGCACAACAAACCAGTGTTTGGATAGTCTCCAGGTAAAAAGCGACAGGTGTTTCACAGCGTCAAAAAGAGGACCCTCCTTGGGTCAGCGAGTTCAGCTTTCATTCTGAAGGACCTGTTGCTTCACTGGTAACAACAGAATTTCCCCAGCTTGAATGGTTCTCAGCTTAGAAAGAAAAATATAGATGGCCTGTCCATACTTCACTTAACATGTGGTGAACTTCAGGGGATCTTGAGTACTGAACTCATAGGCGTCATTTTAACAAAATTTGTGATTGGCAGCTGTGTCCCCCCCACTTTCAAAAAAGCCTGCTGATGAGGATTTTTGTTTTACCAGCTCAGATCTTATACCAGGGGTCGGCAACCTGTTCCCATCAAAGAGCCATTATTACCCGTTTCCCACGGTAATTTTGGACGGACCTTAATTAGCAGTGACTTAAGTGAAGCAGGCAGGTCGCGCTAGAAAATTTCGTTTAAAAAGACGTCATAAATGTGTTCCCCCGTCCTTTTTATTTATAAAATATGAAGTAAAAACTCACAATTAAATTTTCATTCATTTGTCATTAATATGTAGTCTACACCCGTGCGTTAAGTGGACCATCTTCCAGTAAACGCAAAGCATCCAGTCCACCTCTCCAAATGCGTAAAATGTGCATCAGCCGCTAGTTAGGCGCGCCGCGCGCACCGTCAGCTGATCAGTCCAGACAAGAGCAGAGCAAATAGAGAAAGAATAGAGGATCATTGTGTCTGGATGTGGATGGAGATTACATTTTACAGCAGCCTGATCATCATTTAAATACGTAAACCATCACCTGTCTTCTAGTCCACGCTATCAGCATTATTTTAATTGGTGTGTGTGTGTCTGTGTGTGTGTGTGTGTGTGTGTGTGTGTGTTTTCCACTTCAAACACTGGTCTAACCAACCAGACCAGCGTGTCCAGTAACATATTAATGTTACAATTAAACAGTTTCACTTCATGTAGGCTAGGAACATTCCACCTGCCGTGGCCCGACCGCTTCTGCTCCACATAAACTTTGTTCGTAATCAAATGTCTCTACGGGTCATGCGTCTCCATATTAGAGATGGGAACAAGCGCTGTTCAGCCAAAGTTTCATAATTTCATAAAAAGAACATTTTTCCAAGTGACACATCCCTCAGAGAGACCGGGTTTCCAGACTGTTTCAGTGGGAGGAAATCTTATCGCATGCGCGTGGTTCTGCACTGCGCTGGAACCCCATATCTTCAGCTCACTGTCCACCGTGGGCGCTCCGAGCCGCACTGAACACAGTGTCCAGTTTAAAGCTCTGATGTTCTGATGGGAATATTTTACCTCCGCGATGTGCGTTAACGATTAAAATGTCAGCTCATCCATGCGCATCCGTGTGCGTCTGGGTAATTCTTTCAAACCAAGCAACATCCTTGAGTTCATCTGTCAAAATAAACAGTCAAATGGAAATATCTGTAACCTGCCGTTTAACTGTTTTGCCTTCCTGTGAAGATTGTTGCAAAGAGAAACAATTAAACTTGATTAACCCCAGAGCCACCCAGAGAACCATGCAGTGCGCATGCGGGAAGGTTCCTCCCACTGAAGCGAGTGTTTTCCAAACCCTGTCTCTCAGAGAGACTTGTCACTTAGAAAATGTTCCCTGATTATGAAACTTTGGCTGAATAGTGCTTGTTCCTGTCTCCAATGTGGCGACACATCCAGGAGCCGTCTGAGGAGAAGCCCAGAATCTCACATCCTCTTCAGCTCATAAAGTGCCGATATGATTACGCACAAGCGTGACCGGTCAACCACCGCAGACCGGGTTGGACCTGTTCAGGTTTACGCAGACAATCTTTACATTTAGAATTGGCATACAGGTGTAAAATTAATGCAGTAAAATATAAAGCATTTTATTTAAATATCCATTCATTATTTTACAAGCACAGAGAGCCGCATCAGATGGATGGAAGAGCCGCATGCGGCTCCAGAGCCGCGGATTGCCGACCCCTGTGCTAGCCTACTTTATTGTCCCCAGCAATTTTTAAACCCCACTCAAGTGTATGGTTATTGTCCCCAGCAATTCTGAAAACAAACTGACGCCCTTGACTGAACTTAAAATGGCGTTGGAACTGTTTTATTAATCTGGATGTTTTTGATTCTGGACGAATCAAAGCTGACAGATTAAATAAACACCACAGAGACTCGCTACGCTTCAGACGGGGAAGATTCTGATTGGATCAGCAACAGCAATGTGTCATGTGATAATTTACCTTAGTGTATCAGCGTGTCTAGTGATAGAATAAGTCATTTGCTTATAAAAAACATATTTTCATAATATTGTGATTTCACAGCTGAAGACTTGCCTGTTCAGGCTTTTACGTGACCTTTGTCACCACTCTGTCCTTATTCTGTTCTTTCTACCTATTTCGCCTGTCTCGGGATCCACTGATATTACTTTCTCATTCATTTTCTCTTTCTCTTTTCTCACAATTTTCAATCACAATTTTTTTAATTTTTCTCATTTTTAGGACATTTTTGAGTCTTTTTATTTCTTAAACGTGTTCGTGTGAAGCGCCTTGTGATTCCTATCTTGAGAGGCGCTAAATAAAAGATAGTTTTCTTTCTTTAGAGTCAGGTGTTTTAAAAAAATGTTGAAAGGTATGCTACGTTACAGCAGACAGTCAGGAGGATCTGACCTTTGTGCGAACTCCCTGACAGGTAACAATTGTTATCACACAGGAGGAAGGAGACACACAACCGAAGAGGTTTGGCTCATTAAACTAACCAGTCAGACAAGACTGAGACACAGACATGCTCAGACTCATCTGAACCCCGAGGATCCGTGTTTTTTTTTACTACTTTACAGTATTTAAAACCTTTGATCTGGATTACACCTTGGCAGGTAGGAACCAAGGACTATGTTCTTGTAAGGACTGGTTTGATCGTATAGCTGCGTTTAAACGGAGACGGTCCAGATTATACTGATAATGACTTCTGAAGAAACTAAACAAACATATTTTACTTCTCAATAGTCAACACAAGTGACAGCAAATACAAACGTCTGCCACTGAGGGCTTCTCAGCTCACAGGTTTGGTCTGATTTGAACTTTATTTGTACATTTTGTTACTGAAGCCCGTGATGAGGAAGAGATCGGCTCCACCTGAGCCAGATGGTGTGTCCATGTGGTTGGGTCAGCTCATAAGACCACCAGTTGGTTTCCGGGATGAAGACCAGATTGTTTATAAACCGTAAGTCACTAATATTTGTCACATTCATTTTTGGTTGATGATCATGAATGTTTGCAGTTTAAATCATTGATTTCTTGTTGCGTTTCAGCCATTTGGAGGATGAGAAACAAAATCCACCAATATCTTTGACAAATAAACGGGCCAAATCCCTAAGTGTGCATTTTAATGTCTACAATGAAGAATCCATCCACCAACAAAGGTTAGTTCTTTGATCAACTGATGAAGACTTGGTGTCCTACCCCTGACATGTTTTCAAATGTATTTCTTAACCTAAAATGTGTTGACTGTTCTTTGTGAAAGGCCTGGTGAGCAGCAGCCAGGTGACCCCAGGCCCACCTGTGTGTCTTTGAGAACTGAAAGATCTAAAAATGAACCAATTCAGTTTAAGGATGGAAACCTCCCAGAAGATGAAATGTAAGATTTTACTCAAATTTGTGTTGCCGTGGCACTCAAGACAAGATTTTACATCCACTTCATCAACAATATGTTTCATTGTTTATTTTTGTTCTGTGCATTTAGACGTACCCAGCAGGGCCAGTTGGTTTTGAGGTGAGACATCTAAGGATGAACCCATGGAGTTCAGTAACGGAGGCTCCTGGGTTACTGAGCAGAACCGAGGGGGAGTTTGTGTCTCAGAAATGTTTTAAAGAATTTTTACCTCAGAAAAAATACTTTGAGAGCTTACCAAAGTGTGGCAGAGGTTTTGAAAAATTGGTTTAGAAACACAAAAAACTAAATAATAATTGGAGGGATGTAGGTTTGAAAGCCCTCAGCCTGTTGCAGTAACTGTGTCCATGAGCAAGACTCCACCCTCTGTGCTTGGTTGGAGGGACCGGCATGTGACAGCCTTGTTTCTGCCTCAGGGCAGCTGTGGCTACTGTTGCTCATCTCCTCCAGTGTGGAAAGTGTCATTGGGGTAATGTGTTGTAAAGCACCTTTGGGGTTGTAGAACCCTAGAAGGTACTATACAAACACAGGAGGCCATGCCTCGGTTAAGTTGGGATTATAAATATGACTGGAAATCACATCTGTGATATTTTAGCCATAAAATAAAATCTGTCAGTTTCTGAGTTTGTTTGTTTTTTGTTTCAGTGCTGATCCCACGTCTGCTCATCCAAACCAGACAGGTTCAGGTGAGCAGATTCCCGGTGATCATGAAGAGTACAGTAAACAACTGGATTCTGCCTTTAAGGTATAACTGTAGTTAGTTTGCTTTTATCGTGTGTGTTCTTTGTTTCAGTTAAAGAAATGACTCCCAGAAGCTAATTTTCAAAAATATATTGAAATTTTAGCTTTTTTACATTTTCACCTTTTACATGACTGCAAAGAGAATTTTGCTATATTTAGCAAGCACCTACAGTGAAGGTGATGTAGCAAAAAAAAAAAAAAAAGATTCCCAGTAAGTTTGAAACCAGTTTGCTCAGATTCTTGAAGTTTTTTACACTCATGGTTCGATCACCTGAGAAGTATTTTGTGTAACTGATTCAGTTTCTACAACAAAGAGCCTGCAGTGAAGAAAAATACACATTGGTGTTTAAAGAAGAGCAAACTAACAGCAAAGCTTGTTTATAAAACCAGTTTACCCAAAAAAGTTTAAACAGATTGCAGTTTAGTTTTGAGTTTGTCATGAATTCACTTATGTGACAATCAGGTGCAGGCTAAGGTGAGCTAAGGCTAACTGAAAAGAGGGTGTGCAGAATGAGTCTGAATAGGAAAAACGAACGAATCAAAACTAGCAGATCATAACCCAAACGTATTTATCTAATGCCCGATGGTGTATTTAAACCACTCACTCACCAGTTAAACTGATATAGGGTCATAGGAGCTGGTGCCCATCTCCAGCAGTCTGTGGGAGGGTTAACAGGAGGGGAGGGGTGTAGGTAGTAGAGCGGGTTGTCCAGTAATCGGAGGATTGTAAACTTTCTGCTGTGTCGTTTGGCAAGAGACCAAACCCACCTTGTCTGCTGGTGATGGACGTAGGGACCGGTTATTGTTTATTTTCTTATTTATTTGATGATTACATTTTAAGTCTGGACCAAAATCAAATACATTCTGTGTGCTTCCAGGAGTTGAAAGAGGAAGTTAACACCTTCACAGAAAAGGAACTTGAGAGACTGAGAAACATCCTGAGTCTGGAGGATTCAGGGAGGCTCCAAGAGGATCATGAAGAAACCAACGAAGAAAAAGAACAAATGAACATCAAAAGAGACTTTTTTCTGAAGTTCACAATGACTTTCCTTAGTAAATGGAAGCCAGAGTGGCTCTCTGACATTCTGCAAAAAAGTGAGAGATTTTCAGTATTTCCTCTGTTCAGTTTGTTTTGTGGAATTATTAATAACATATTTAGTTTACTTAGTTGAGGTCTTAGGTTGAAAACTGCCTTTAAACACGCTAAATACCATACGTACTTTTTATTTACTGTAAACACATCTTGTATTTTTCAGAAACTCATGTGATGATTTATCAACTGAAATTCAAATCTCATCTGATGAAAAAGTGTAAAAGTGTGTGTGAGACTACCACAAAGGCAACATTTGTGGATCAGATCTACACTGAGCTCTACGTCACAGAGCATGGGAGACGAGAGGCCAATGGGCAACATGAGCTTCAACAGATAGGAGCAGCATCTTGGATACCAGAAAGTTCAAAAAGCACAATCAGCTGTGACGATATCTTTAAACGTAGAGAAGGGGAGCCAGGCTGGACACTAATGACCAAAGGAGTTGCAGGAATTGGGAAAACAGTTCTGACACATAAGTACACCTTGGACTGGGTTGAAGAGAAAGCCAATCACAACATACAGTTTATCTTCCCGTTTACTTTCCGTGAGCTCAATTTGCTAAAAGGTAAAACCTACAGCTTAGTGGAACTCATCCATTACGTCTTCACTGATATCAAAGAAGCTGGAATATGCAGGTTTGAGGAGTTCCAGGTTGTGTTCATCTTTGATGGTCTGGATGAGTGTCGCCCCCCTCTGGACTTCAATGAGACTCAGATCTTGACAGATGTTACAGAGTCTGCTCCAGTGGATGTGTTGATCATAAACCTCATTAGAAGAAAGTTACTTCCATCTGCTCACCTCTGGATTACCACAAGACCAGCAGCAGCCAATCAGATCCCTCCCGAGTTTGTTGACATGGTGACAGAGGTCAGAGGGTTTAAAGATCCACAGAAGGAAGAATACTTCAAGAAAAGGTTTACTGATGAAGAACATGCCGACAGAATAGTCTCCCATATCGGGACATCACGAAGCCTCCACATCATGTGCCACATCCCTGTGTTCTGCTGCATCACAGCTACAGTCCTGGACCATGTCCTGAAGAACAGCGAGAACAAAGAGTTGCCGAAGACCCTTACTGAGCTGTACATCCATTTCCTGTTGGTTCAGGCAAAAAGAGACAAGGAGAAGTATCTCACACACCTTCCAGCAGGTCCAATATGGAATGAAGAGACCAAGAAGATGTTTCGTTCTCTGGGAAAACTAGCATTCAAGCAGCTAGAAAAAGGAAACCTGATGTTCTATGAAGAGGATCTAAAAGAGTTTAACATGAATATAAATACAGCCTCAATGTACTCTGGAATGTTCACAGAGATCTTCAAGGAAGAGTGTGGACTGAACCAGGAGAGGGTCTTTTCCTTTGTTCATCTGAGCATTCAAGAGTTTCTGGCTGCCCTTTATGTGTTTTTGAAGTTCAATAACACAGGAGTCAATGTCCTGAAAGGAAGGAGTGTGTCGGTTCTGAGCGAAGCTAAAACTAAGCAGTTCTACCTGAGTGCAGTGGACAAAGCTTTAGAGAGTCCAAATGGACACCTGGACATGTTTGTTCACTTCCTGTTGGGCCTTTCGCTGAAAACAAATCAAAGGCTCTTAAAGGGTTTGGTTTCGAAGACGAGACGTAAACCACAGGCTACAGAGACTCTTGTGCAGTATGTAAAGAAAAAGGTCAATAACTGTTCTTCGACTGAGAGAAGCATCCGAATGTTCCACTGGCTGAATGAACTGAATGATCGTTCTCTAGAGGAGGAGATCCAGCAGTCGCTCAGCGAAAGCGACTTTGCAAAGAAGCTCACTGCATCTCAGTGGAGAGCTCTTGCCTTTATTTTGCTGTCATCTCAGAGACAATTAGAGACTTTTGACTTGAAGAAATTTTGTGCTTCAAAAGAGGCACTTAAGTGGCTGCAGCCCGTGGTTAAAGCATCAAAAATATCTTTGTACGTATGCAATTAAACAATAGTTATAGTTATGAAGTACAACTCAAAAACAATGTCACTATTGAAATGTTATTTTCCAGGCTGAGTGACTGTAACCTCTCGTGGAGAAGCTGTATATCTCTGGTGGACATTTTAACCTGTGAGAACTCTCATCTCAGAGAGTTGGACCTGAGCAACAATGACCTGCGTGATGCTGGTGTAAAGCTGCTTTCTCAGGGACTTAAGAATCCAATGTGCCGACTGGAGGTCCTCAGGTCAGTTAGAAGATATTTGATTTAATTTACTTTACTTTAATTTACATCATCATTATAGATCAAAAGATAGAACCTGTTTACAGTATCTTTTGAATGTGTCAAGGGGTCACACCTGAGAAGCTATTTAGCTTAAACACAAACACACACATTCTCGTTACTGGTCAGATTATCATTTTGAACATACTAATTATACTTTTTCAGAATTCAATTACAAAACAAACAACTTAATCATCAATATCATAGGATAAATTGGGACCATTTTTAGTATGCTCATGTTTAACTGATTCAGCCATTTGATGATTGACTGCAAGAACTTGGATACGTCTTTGTCAATGTCTTTGCAAGAAAAATTGCATCAAAGCTCTGTATGGGCCTCTCGACTCAGGCTGTCGCCCCCTCCATCAGTTCTCAAATGTCTTGTTCATAAATAACGTAAACGACTGCAGTTTCCAATTCTGGGGTGCACCATACTGAGAAATTTGAAAGAAATGCTTTTGTACACAATGCCATGAGGAGCAATGAATGAAACCTGTTCGATCATTCACTCGAGTAGTATTAACAAGATACTAAACAAGCTAAAACAATAATAGGCCTTTTCCACCAGTACCTACTCAGCAAAGCTGAACTCAGTTCCTAGGCGAAAAACCAGGTTACCTTCCTTTTTGGGTACCTGCTTTGATGTGGTTCCAAGTGTATTGAAAATGTAGCATGAAATACTACAAATCAATTATGAAAATGACCAATAAGGTTTGATTCTTCCATATCAATATGAAATATCAACCTGACTGATCTTTGACTGTTTAATCAGAAGATTATAGTTTCTTTTACTTGTTCAGGGACCATAAACACACTTCGTATAATTCAGACAGAGTCAGGTATATCATTTTTAAACTGAATTTAATTAATTTTCCTAAACTAATAATTTATACATGACAACATATGAATAATGAGATGTGATGTGGTGGCTGTGATCTGATGTAATGTGATGTGTGAGGTGGTGTGATGGAAGCTAGAAGTTTTAGCAGAACCTTCTATGTATCTGAGAGAACTTGTGAAATCTGGGTGTAAAATAATTTGTTGTTTGGTTATAAACTAGAGAGTTAGTTATTGATAAAAGTCATCAGATGCAATCTGTCGTGTCTACAATACCCTTGTGGAGACCCCCAGCAGATCCAGACTGTCAGAAGTCGGGTGGACCTCGACCCCAAGGTATCCGAAGCCTGTAGATTAGCTCCGATACGACCCGTCCGGTCTTGAGATATCTCCAGGTCACAACAGGAAGCTGGAATGCTTGTCAGCATCCAAGGTGGATGTTTGGCTTTTAAAAGAGCCGTTTGGCTGTGTCAGCTTGCAGTGTGCAGAGAGGCTTTTGACTTGTATGTCAAAAGAGATGTCTTGAAAATGCTTCCTGAATTGGCCGGTTCAAGAGTCAGATAGAAACTGAATTAATCGGGAAGTAATTCCTGGTTTAGTAAACTCATTATTTATCATTTATGGCGTATTCTGGCAAATTAGAATGTGCCATGTCTTCAAGGCTTTACCAAAACATTCCTCAAAAAGCCACACCTTCTTCAGATTCAAAGATGTTTTTAACACTTTGTGAATGAGAGTCTTTAAAACTCTTATGTGAGGTGAATGTTAACCTTAATGACTATCTTATTGTAATGTGTATGAGTGTAAACACTGATTAACTTGTTAAATCAACACATACTGATTTGTGAAATAAATGGATCACTGTAAGAACAATATTCATTTTAAATTCATTAATTTAAGCACAGATTATTCAAAAATTTCATTTAAACATCTTGTTCATTCATCACATATGTTTATTTAAGCTTATGGTTGTAAAGTTATGGAGTCTTCACTTATTCCGAGTGAAGACTGTTGACATCTGGCATTCACGCAGAGATGGCAGGAAACCTTGAGGGAAACTGTTTCATCTCCAGTGAGGAATAGTAAGTGGGCAAAGGTTGTTTTGGGCGTCTGGGCCCCGATAGATGGTGCAGCCTTGAATGTGTATAAAAGGTTATGTTGTGTCAATTAGATGGTGAAAAATTGACCCCTTTGATGCGTAACATCTCCCCCCTTTTCAAGGACCCGGGGTCTTGGCAGAAGACCACGGGTGTTGAACAATCTCTGAGGCCCTGAGGACTCAGCAGAGGAAGACAGAGTTATTTCTCAGAAACCGAAGCACTTGGAGTGAAGAAAAGCAACCCCCCACACAGCAGAATAGTCAATAGATTTCCCAATCAGCAAATTGTAATCCCACTTAGAGAAATCCGCAGGCAGGGACCATGACGAGCAGGAAACAGAGCCATGAGCAGAAACAGATCAGATCCCAGCGATCCACAGCGATTCGTAGTGATCTAGGAAACCATAGCAGGAAAACCATAGGAAGTCCAGAACTCTAGAAGAACTGGAACCCAGAGCAGCAGGCAGCAGAACCAGGTGATGAAGCAGGGATTTGATTTCAGGAAGCGAGGACATCTGGCGAAACTCAGCAAAGCTTCAAAACACACACACAGGACATCTGACTGTAGACCCACATAGATGGCGTCTGATGGAAAAGAACACCACAGGGTTCAGTGCTTGGACCAATTCTTTTTACTGTATATATGCTCCCAACTGGTAAAATCATTAGACAGCATGGGATAAACTTTCACTGTTATGCTGACGATACTCAGTTATATTTATCCATTGACCCTGATGAATCTAATCGGTTAGGTAGATTACAGGCTTGTCTTGAGGACATAAACAATTGGATGACTCTAAACTTTTTGCTTTTAAATCAAGACAAGACGGAAGTTCTCATCTTTGGACCAGAAATCCAGAAAAAGAAATTGCTTAGTCAATCACCTGACCTGAATGGCATTAAATTAGTCTCCGAGAACAAAGTAAGGAACCTTGGTGTTATTTTTGACCAGGTTAATCAGGTTTGTAGGATTTCCTTTTTCCACATTCGGAATATTGCTAAGATTAGAAGCATCCTTTCCAGGAGTGATGCTGAAAAACTAGTTCATGCATTTATTACATCAAGACTGGATTACTGTAATTCATTGCTCTCAGGAAGTCCACAGAATGTAGTTAAAAGTCTTCAGCTTGTCCAAAATGCTGCAGCTAGAGTTCTGATGAGAATTAAAAAGAGAGATCATATCTCTCCTGTCTTAGCTTCCCTACATTGGCTACCTGTTAAATTCAGAATAGATTTTAAGATCCTTCTTCTCACATATAAAGCTCTTAATAATCAAGCTCCATCATACATCAGTGATCTGATTGTTCCATATGTTTCTAACCGAGCACTTCGCTCTCAGACTGTAGGTCTACTGGTGGTTCTCAGAATATCTAAAATTAGGATGGGAGGCAGATCTTTTAGTTATCAGGCTCCTCTCCTGTGGAACCAGCTCCCAGTCTTAGTCCATGAGTTCATAATTGTATCTTCTCATCAGCAGCACTGCAGGTGCTCTCCATGTCCAAAATGTGCGTAAGCCAGGCCTTTAGTCAACTAAAAGTTGCGGACATTTTTCCGCTACGTTTTCTTTTATGAATCCCAAAGTTTGGGTGGAAAGTTGCTTACAAAGTTTTCCGACCTCGTTTTGTACGTAAGCAAGCTTTATAAATGAGGCCCCAGAAGATGTGCTGCTTTTTATGGTGCTCTGTCTGACAACAAATCTCCATTAATTAAGTCTTTGTGGGGGCATTTCCTCTTGTTTTCCAGTGTCGGGAGTTTAGTATGGGCTGTGGGGGAGTTCTGCCGTCTTTTCCAGTGTCAAGAGTTAGATTTTAAGCGTGATCAGTGGTTACTTTCTTTTGCTTCCATTCTACTTCACGAGCAACTCTTCTAATTTTACTAAAGCTAGCTGTTTGAACAATGTCTGCTGATGTAATTTCCTGCTTTGTTACAACCAATCAGCATGAGTTAACCAAAGGCTCAGCTCAGCTACTCCACCGTTCTGAGTACCTACCTCTGATCAGATAGTCAGAAAGTTTCTGAAAATACCCCAGAAAATGGTCGGTTGGCCGGCCCGGTGAAATGGAGGCATGTGCATGTTGGGAAGTTCTTGTAAATCTACCCTGAAGTTCCAGAAATGGAAACCCATGTAATGAAAAACAAGGGTCAATTAGTCACTGGTTGTTCCAGAGTATTCAGCCTTGCTGCCTGCAACCTTTTTTGGGCACTTCTTTTTTGGAGTCTGACAAAAGCCACACAGTTCACTATTCTGCCTTGTCCTCTGTTGTTGTATTGAGTTTTTTTGGGGGTTAGGGTTAAGGTTTGGCCTCCCTGCCTAAATTTATGCACTTGCCTTATTTTGTTTAAACAATTATTGCACACTTTCTGTAAATCCTGTAAACTTTATTTCACTTCTCAAGAATACCTCCTTCCGATCTCTAAACGGAAGTGATGAGCACCCTGATACTGGTTGGCTTGTGTAATTACTTCAGCTTCATAACAATCTGGATGCACATCCAGATCTGCACCGCACCACAAACCCTCTAATTGGGCTCCATGATTTTGATCTTTGTGGAAGCCATCTTTGTGCTACTACTAGTTTACCCGTTTAATTATAGATCCACTAGGGTAAATATAATAAAGTTTATCTCTCACCAAATAGAATATTTACTAAGAAATCACAATGTAACCATAGAAACATTACTTGCTATATATGTTGTGTGTGTGTGTTTGTGTGTGTGTGTGTTTGTGTGTGTGTGTGTGTGTGTGTGTGTGTGTGTGTGTGTGTGTGTGTGTGTGTGTGTGTGTGTGTGTGTGTGTGTGTGTGTGTGTGTGTGTGTGTGTGTGTGTGTGTGTGTGTGTGTGTGTGTGTGTGTGTGTGTGTGTGTGTGTGTGTGTGTGCGTGCGCGCGCGCTCTATCTTCTCGATCCCCAGTGAGTCGTGGTGGATGGCTGCTTATACTGAGCCAGGATCCTCCGGAGGTTTCTTCCTGTTAAAAGGGAATTTTCCTTTTCACTGCCGCTAAATGCTTGCTTAATATGAGGACAAGTCAGTGACTTGATGCAATTTGCTGGGTCCCTTACATAGGAAACTTTTTCTGATTGGCTTAATGAACTGACCTGTATTGGAATGTTTACTATGTGAAGTGCCTTGAGACGACTCTTGCCGTGATTTGGCGCTATATAAATAAACTTGAATTGAATTGAACTTGAAAACCATGCGGGTCTACATCCATTCTGCACTCAGTGTTGATAAGGCTTGAGGGACACAGGGACACAAGAAAAATAAAACCAACAACCAAAGGGTCAAGACAGATGACTAAATTAACGAACAAATGGGAATGAACTAACCTAACATGAAGTAAAACAACAAATAATTCACACTCCACTCGCATATCATGACACACACATGTGGTAATAAAAATAAATTAATCACGAATATGTTTTGGTCCTAATGTGTGTGGTGTGCAGCAAAATGGCAGGCACAAACCAATTTCACACTTTAACATTCCCAGATCAAAAACTGTCCAAACTTCTCAAGATCCAATGTAAATATACAAATGCAGTCCATTTACCCTGCTTTCTCATTGGCTACACATCACATTCAACAGTCAGCACTCCTGTTTCTCCTCAAAATGGGACCAAAACAATTCAACACATTTGATGTCCCCAATTTATGATCCGAGCAATCCCAGTGTGCTTCCAAACAGAACACAGGCCCCTTAACACACCACACACAGCAGGTCTTTGTGATAAGATTATCTTTAGTGCACTCACTGTGATCAGGCACATTAATGTATTGGCCCAATTTGTAGATTTCCTATGTATGCCAAATAAAGTTGTTAGTCTTGCTACATAATTTTGTGAATGTTTGCAGCTTGTCAGGCTGTCTGGTCACACAGGAAGGCTGTGATTCTCTGGCAACAGCTCTGAGCTTCAACCCATCCCATCTGAGAGAGCTGGACCTGAGCTTCAACCATCCAGGAGAATCAGGACTGCACCGTCTTTTTGCTGGGCTGCAGGAACAAAAGTGGAAACTGAAAGCTCTTAAGTACAGTCAGATAAATAATACTGTCAGTTTATTTAATGCATGCGTTGATGCTCTTGTTCATTTCTTACTCTCCATACACAGAACTGATCATTGTGGAAAGTCTAGACTGAGTCCATCACCACAAAGATGTAAGTTAATTGTTTCAGAGTTGTACTTCACTTCAACAAAGACCCATGAAGACATGCCTACAAAATATTTAAAGTGTTTTTAGTGTAACTAATTTGACTGTTACCCTTGAAGTGAAGGTTTCCTCATTTATAAGGGTATTTTCAGATGAAATGCTATTTAGTCCCTCGTTCATCTTTTCTGTCATCATAGGAGTTTTTTATTTTGAATTTGTGCTGTTTCCATCCAGTCAGTGTAGGTTTAAATGAACACAGTTGAACGGTTGCATTGATAAAATCACCTACCTTTTCTTTATTTCTTTTTTCTTTGTCTGCCTTCAGTCTTTTGTGAGCTCACTTTGGATCTACGTACAGCGAACGAAAACCTCCAAGTATCCCAGAACCTGAAATATGCCATCGTAATGAAAGAGAAGCAGTCATACCCTGATCAACCAGAGAGGTTTGTAAAGTGGAAACAGCTGCTTTGCGGTGATGGTTTCACTGGTCGCTGCTACTGGGAGGTCAAATGGAAAGGAAGTGTTAGAATAGGAGTGACGTACAAAACAATCAAGAGGAAGGGGAAAGGTGAGGACATCTGCATTGGGAAGAATGATCACTCCTGGAGTCTCTTCTGCACCCAGCAGGGGTTCACTGCTTGGCATAAAAACACAGCACTGGATGTAGAAATGCCACAAAACACTGAGTCTAACAGAATAGCTGTGTATCTGGACTGGTCTGCAGGAACGCTGTCCTTCTACTGTTTGCCCAAACTGGTTTCCTCAATACAGAAGATCCACCTCCACACTTTTCAGGCCACATTCACCGAACCGCTGTACCCTGTGTTTGGGTTTGGACACTTCTATAAATTTAAGAAGGACTCTACACTGTTATATTCCTCAGTGTATCTGACACAGGTTGACTGAGGACGTCTCCCCATCTGCTTCGAATTGTCCCCAGCAGGACTCAGAAAGTACAACTGAATGTTTAAATGGTCCTTCAATATTGTGTGGTTTGCATTTTTCTATCTGTACTTATAAATCAATGATGTTGTACATTATACTGTTGATGCAAAGGTTTTCCTCATTAACACCAGTTAAAATAACACATCACCAAATGTCAGAGCTGAAACAAAGTGCTGCTAATATACATTTTAAAATTTTAACATGCCTTTACCGTAACCAAGTCTATCGCTTATTTGCATGACAGTTTAATGTTTGAGTGAAAATATTTATTTCTGTTTTGTCAGTCATAGCAGAGGCAGTAATTCAGGCAGTAATTGACTGGTTCAGTCAATATTTAAATAACATTAGTTAATTTTTGACATGCAAATCATTCATTATTTTTTCCTTATTATATAATAATTTTGTTATTTACTGGGGTTTTATCATTTCCATGCTGAAAATATTTACCTTCTTGGACTTCAGAATTCCTAAATTATCCGACCTACAGAGGCATTTCAATTGGATTCTGGTCATTTTCTGCAACCGAAGAGAAACCTTAGATTCTTCCTAGTGCTTTGCACAATTCCTCAGGTTTGTCTGAAACTTTAACTCACTTAAATGTTGGAAAAGTTGGTTATTGGTTTTTCATGTGTAGCGGAAATCCACATTTCATATTCTCAGATTAACTTATTTTCATACAAAGTTTTCTTTCTCTCACTCTTAGCAGCAAAAAGGGAAATTTGAAACTGGCTGTAGTCATATAAATTCCAACATTCCCTTTCCAGCACATCTGGCCAACTCCTACCTTTTCCCAGAGACATACATTTTACCAAGTGACTTTTTTCCCTCCTTTACCAATCGGAGAAGCAGGACGATATCAGAAACTGATCTGTTCTATGTCAACCTGCCAAGACCTGGCTCTCACCTAAGACTTGGGAGCTCGTAAAACTTCTCAGGGCGTGTTCTGGAAGGTTCCAGAATTTAGTCTTTATAAAAACCCTGGTATTTCTGTTTATCCAACATCAAAATGTGCTTCAGGTTGTTCACCATTAAAAATCAAGGTGTTCAAAGTAAATGTTTAAACTCTTATCAATTACAAACCTAACTGCTTGTTATGTGTTATTTTCTTTTATGTTAAACCTCTGCCGTTTTTGTTTCACCAGTTAAAATTCATGCTAGCAGCAATACAGTCAAGCTTAAGACATGCATTTAGTTCTTTTCTATTTAAAGTAATACCTTTTGAGGCCTTATATGGATAACTTTGGTAAATTGTGATTATGGACCTTTCATTGTTGAAAGTGTAGTTATTTGAAAGAGCCATAGTGCCATCCAGTGGTTAATGAGTGAAATACATGTGGGTGTGACTAAAGAAGGTTGTAAAGGCCAGGTTTCAACCTCGTGACGGCAGAGCAAAGAACAAAGGACACCTTAAGCACAAATCCCTGCTAAGCTTTTCCATCTTGCCTAACAACGTCGTCGCTTTCAAAGTTTTTTTAGTCATTAGCTCTCAAAATTTACGGTAAAACTCAACAGCACTCAGTTTGTTTTGTTAGACCTTCTACGTCAAACCGGAAGTCGGTTTGGTCCAGTAAAGTTTTCACAGTAAGAGTCAAATTAATGTAGCGTTGTGGTTTTATGCTCTTTCATGAAAGAGGAACCATGCTACGTATTAATTCGGAATATTAATTTTTAATATTCAATAACCAAGTTTTATATTGTTCAGAAGACTCAAAGGTTGTTTTCATCGATAAACTGCCGATAATATCTGAGTGTCTGTGTTTCAGTTCAATGAGGAAACCAGTTTGACGATTAAAAGTTTTAATTCTTCAAATTAAACTAATGATTTTGAAAATTGACAAACAGGAAATACAATCAACATTGGTAACTTTGTGGGACAATCTTTAACAGTTGATATGCTGTTCTTGCTCAAATAGACCTTCTGGTGAATTTATGAAGATTGAGAATGTTGTGAGTTGTGAGAGTGATATGATGTGATTATGAATGCGTGTGGGTGCAAAGTGTGGTGAGATGAGGTGAGATGGATGCGTGTGTGCATCTGATTTTGCTTCATGAAGAAACAGGTGTCTGAGTGAAAAGTGATGGTTTGAATAAACTTAGGTTTAGTTGGAAAAAATGCATCCAAACGCTAAACACCGTGTGCTGTCTCACCGAACTCTTGTGGACCCTCTTTCGGATCCGGGCCGTGGAGGATGTTGTGGTTCATCCAGATGACACTCAACGGCTGACAGGGAAGACGTAGGTGTCGAACGGAACCGGTCCAGAGTTGCCCTCGGTACACGTTGATGGTAAAGCGTTTTGTCGACGCGCTTTCTTAAGTTAATTCACTCAGAAATCAAAAGACTCGGTAATGAGTCTGCGTTAGAAGTCGCGATTCAGCTATTCTACCTGGCGTGGCAGAAACAGCGTGAGAGAGGGGGGGGGATTGAGCCCATGGGCTCCGTTCCCCGTTAGCGGTTATTCACACGTCCTCTCTCTTTCGTTGTCAAGCACGAACTCTCATCATAAGACTGAAACTTACCAAAAACCTATCTCTTCTCAAAGCAAACGTGTGCGTCATCAAATGTGTCTGGAGTTTACTGTGGGAAGATGTGTGTGGGTGTGTGTGAATGTTTGTGTGCTTGAGTGTGTGAAGGTCAGTAACAAACATTCTCAACACTATTTAAGAATGGATTCATTAAATCTCTTATAATTACCCCAAAGCATAATAGTCATTCATTTGATTAAACACATTTATAATGAGCAAAATGATAATGGTTACTTTAACATTAAAGTCAAGAAAAAGAAGTTGAAACTTTATGTTTTGACTTGGTCTGGGTACAACTCATGGAAACACATCTTCTGGTAGACTGCAGGTGGCTGATGTTATGGTTTCCTCCCAGACTCGCTGGCGTTCAGGTCTTAATCTGTGGGTGAAAGTTCTCAACGACCCAGCTTTGACCCAGCTGAGTCCAGCACCACCATTGTGCCAGAAAACCCATATTTCCTCACGTTACACTAATTTGGAGCAGTTTTTCTGATTCAGCATCGGTTTTGATCATTTGGACTCGCGCTCTGAATTCCACATTTTTGGTGCAGCTGAAGTGAAGAAACCTTAAAGTCAAGCCACTCCCAGGGAACGAGATTCTCCTGAACATACGGAAGACTACGTTGACCAACTCAGGGGCCAAAAATCCTATAGTCCCGAAGGCTTCACACAAGGGAGGACTCCTCCAACTGTTTCAGCCCTTTGGTCACCCCTGGCGATGGAAACAGGTCTGTGAATCCTTAATCTGGCTGACTTTTCTGCTAAACCGATTAGTGGATTCAGATTATCCCATTTCATGGCGTGTTTTATTTCGATCCAAATTCATGTTAGCTCTCAAGATTTATCTTTCTTTCTCTGCCGCAACGAACACTTATTTGCTCTCTCTCTCTCACACACACACACACACACACACACACACACACACACACACACACACACACACACACACACACACACACACACACACACACACACACACACACACACACACACACACACACACACATTTTACAAAACTCACATGAAAATTCACTTGTTCCCCTTTAGAAATCAGTCCCAATTCTACTATAATCTTGTGTGTCACCAATTTTCCACTTTTATTACAGATCAGTTATTTCATATCACTGCCATAAAGCTTTGGGTTTAACCATTTTCTTAATTCCATGCATGAAACTATAAGATATATTTGATCCATTTGTCAAATGTATGTAACTGATGTTTGTAATAAACTCACAAAAACGTAAATAACGCCTCATCATTTCTTGCGATCTCGAGAATAGTTAGCGCATTCTGGCAAGAATTCATCCTTTAGGTTAATTTGTGGTGTTGAATTTGAGACTGATCACATTGAACCAATCTGAATATCAATTCAAGTGTTCCAAGTTCACACTAACAAGGACTTGGTGGTGTCCCAATTAATTAATATAAGATTATAAACGACTAAACAAGCTAAATCTACACCACACTTGATACATATAGACATAAATCTATATTTATCCCTACACATGTAAGAAAACAGTTTTTAATTCTTTAACTTAATTACTACCTGATATAAATTTACCTTGTCTGTGTAAATGGTAAATGGCTTGTATTTGTATATGATTTGTAATGCACAGAACCGACTCACGTACCTTCAAATCATTCAACAGGTCAATAAGTATTTCTCCTAGTGCGCGAATTTTGTCTGGAGATCGACTCCCAGAATCAGCTCTCGGCCTTGGGGCAGGACTGTAGTCCTTGCAAGGATTACGCGTTGATTTTTGGCCCGAAGGAGTGCGTCCCTCGCTTGGGCGAGGCGACTCTGTCCTGTAGGAGCCTGGCGAACCCCCTTTTTCTCTGAAAGAAACGCGATGTTTATCGCGTCCTGGTCGTGGTGTCTTGGGGTCCCCTCCACGAGCTGGTGGAGGGGTCCGGGGTCTGTTTGGGTTTTGAGGCCTGTTGTTTGGAAAGCCTTTTTGCTTGGGGTTGTTATCAGGTTTTTGGACCTGTGATTTGGGTCCAGCTCTTTGGTTTTTATTTTTATGAGTTCTGTATGCAGCACCCTCGAGTCGCAGCGAGGTCTTTTCCTCCACCGCCAGAACTGATGGACTGCTTGAACTCTTACTGGTTTTACCAAATCGTGTAAAGGCACAGCTCACCATTCTTCTGAGCTCATCCATGGGTGTGGTTTTAGGATCCACTGTACCCATATATGGGCTATACTGGGCATGTAGGTTCTCAAGGAATAGTCCCCTAAAACCTTTTTCCTCTTCCATCCCGTCCTTGCATTCCGTACCCAAGTATGCGTTGAAGAGACGTTGATAGAAGACTTGTGGGTCTGACAAAGCTAGCTGTATGCCAGCTTCCTGTGAATTTTAGGTGTACTCTTTCCGAACCGCAGCTTCCAGCTTTTCATAATCGTTCGCGATTAAATTTGTCACGCCCTGTCCTGTCTTCTCTTAGGTTTTAGTCGGTGTCTCCATTAATTTCTCCCACCTGCCTCTTGTTTCCCAATCACCATAGCTCCCTCTCCTCGTGTATTTAAACCCCTTCTGTTCTGTGTTCCATGTCGTGCCATTGTTTCAGTGTCCAGCGTGTCTCTTTAATAAACTGATGTTAAATGGACTGACCTGTTCGCCTTCTTCCTCCCTGCGCTTGGATCCTCCTCTGATCACCACCTCGCTGCCCGGCACGCTCGTGACAGAATGACACGAAACCTCTGAAGGGTCCAGCGGGGAGATCCTCCCATGGAAGTATCTATTCCAGTTCCTCTCTGCCGACTATCGACCGGCTTCTCGTTCCCCAGCTCCAACTCCGCCTCGCCGCAGACGGCGTCCCCAACCTTCTGCCTCGGCGTTCCTCGCCTCGCTTCCCGAACCGGATGGGAGTTTGGATGGGGAGACGCCCCGGGATCGCTCCGGCTTCGAGGGCACGAGGCTGGCTATCTGCTCCCCCGGGGTCGGTCCACGGCGTGGGGAGAGACGCCGGAATCCACCGCAGCCCTGTGCTTCAGGAAGGAGATGCGAGCCCGCCGCTGGCCGTGCTCGGCTATCCAGTTCGGACACGCCCCCGGTCAGACCAGCGGTCCCGTCTCTGGCCGAATCGGCGTCTGCAGGTGGAGGAGCTGCGCCCGCAGTTCAGCTGACGGACCTCGCCAATCTCCGAGCTGAGTTGGTCCAGATGCGCCAGACCCTCGTTCTCGAGAGGCTCGAGCTGGAGAATCTGCTCGCTGCTTCGGCTGGACGCAGCAGCGTGGACCCGCCCCCAGTCGGACCAGCTGTCCCGCCTCCAGTCCGATCGGCTTCTCCGTCATCTGCAGGAGGTGGAGCAACGCCCGCAACCCAGCCGACTGAGCTTGCCAGTCTCCGGGCTGAGCTGGTCCAGATCCAACAGCTCTCCAGTTCTAATAAGCTCCTAATGGATGCTCTGCGCTCCCTGTCTCCAGCACCACCCGTTCACTCAATGCCTGTTCCAGCGGGGGTCCAGAGGCAGGCGGTGTGGGTCCAGAAGCAGACGGTGCGGGCCCAGAAGCAGAAGGTACCAGCCCAGAAGCCGGTGGTTCGGAGACTGGCGGTCCAGAAGCCGGAGGACCAGAAGCTGATGAAAGTCAACACCTCCTCCAATCCAAGGGTCGACACCTCCAATCCAAGGGTCGACGCCTCCAATCCAAGGGTCGACGCCTCCAATCCAAGGGTCGACGCCTCCAATCCATGGGTCGACGCCTCCTCTGAAGTTGGCTCCCAAGTCGACGTGTCCTCTGAAGTCGGCTCCCAAGTCGACGTGTCCTCTGAAGTCAGCTCCCAAGTCGACGTGTCCTCTGAAGTCGGCGCCTCCTTTGATGTCGGCTTGTCTGAAGTCGTCTCGTCTGTCGCCTCCTCTGAAGTCGTCTCGTCTGTCGCCTCCTCTGATGTCGGCTCGTCTGTCGCCTCCTCTGATGTCGGCTCGTCTGTCGCCTCCTCTGATGTCGGCTCGTCTGTCGCCTCCTCTGATATCGGCTCGTCTGTCGCCTCCTCTGATGTCGGCTCGTCTGAAGTCTGCTCGTCTGTTAACTCCTCTGATGTCGCCTCGTCTGAAGTCGGCTCGTCTGTC